TGTATTATTATACTAGAATGACTTGATGGTTTAAAATAGCATTTGCCTTTTTTTTTCTTGTGAGGAGGGATTACAAATTTAAAAAAACACTAGGAGTTGGTCTTTTATGTCAAAACACAAAACCTTAGTGTAGTTGGGTAGGATTATGGGTATTTTCTTTCTTACATTTTTGTGTTCACCACCTTGGGCACATGTTACATTAAAATCAGAAAAAAAGGGAGATTGATGGCTGGGGCTATGTCATTCTGCCTTGGTCTACTTTCCCAGGGACTGTCACTTTACCTCCACAACTGGGTATCCCCCATGATTAAAAGAGCTCATTCTTCTTTCAGGGAGGCCTGGGCCCTGCCAGCAGGTAGGCCATGACTTTGACCCCCTCCCCAAGTCTTTATGAAATCCCCCTTCCCTTCCTGGCTTTACTAAGTGGAGAAAATGCTGAGTGACGGAGACAGAATCTGCTCCCCCCGCGCTCCCTGCACCCCATCCTTGCACTTCTTCCAGACAAGACCAGGTTGTCACAGGAGCTGTGGTTTAGCAACGCTGGCCAAGGCTGGGCATAGGGACAGGTAGGGGCAGGAGAACTGGAGGGGCTCATGGGGAGTGGCAAAGTGATATTCTGAGATATTCTAGATAGGACGCACAGGGGGACAGACTGGAGTCTGGAAAAACAGTGAGCAAGACAGGTGAGATGTAGCTGTTGGCCCATTGAGCTTCACACGTCAGAATTACTCCCCTCAACTCCCCCCTGGAGAAACACTGGTTCAGAACAAGTGCTATGCCATCTTAACATTAACACTACAATGGTTAATATATTTATGAGTGCCATGATTAATATATTCATTGCATTCATAGAAACATCTATAGACCTTTCACATATATTCTCTCACTGGATCCTTATAACAGTCTTAAGAGGTGGGCAAAGTAGGTGGTTATTATGACCTTAACATCACAGCTCAGGAAACTGAAGTTCATTCATTCATCCAACATGAGGAAACGCGCTACCTCCCAGTGTGAGCTCGCCCTGGAGTCCAGCACGAAACAAGACAGACATAGGCCCTGCTCTCACGGAGCTCTCTTTCGGCTGGGCTCAGAGGATGGCTGGCTGCCTAAGATCACACAGCTGGTCTGAGCAGATCTTGAACAGGTTAGACACAGTCCATGGAAGCTGTCACCACAGGTACACACCTAATAGCAGGTATTTTAGTTCGCAGGCACTGTCTTAAGAGTGCTTTAATGGTAGCAATGCACATAATAATAGTCTTGCTAATGAGGTAGGGGAGTCTAGGGAACAATTCAGGTAATTCTAGTTGTCTTTCTCCAATTCAGAATCTCCTTTCTCTCCAAAACCTGATCTAAAAATGCATATGTCTCATGGTAATTATAAGGCAATCTTAACCTAGTCTTACCTTTCTTGAATTAATATTTTGATTCTTAATTTTTTTCACTATCCTGTATTTATAAAGAATAAGGTCAAGATTCTTCTTTTTGTTATCTCTGTTGTACCTGGAGTCAAATGTGACAGCAGGTGTGAATAGAAGAAGATTGTCCAGAACCCTTTGTCCCCGGCGTCCCACGTGAATTATGCTGGCTCTCTTTCCTGGCCTTCTATGAACCTGGGAACCTATGACAGAAATGCTGACAAAAAGGGATGGCTTACACCTTCTGCTTTTTATCGTGCAGCCGTTTCAGAGGAAGAGCCCAACTTGGGAAAAGGGGTGAAATGGTAAAGTTATATTGAAAATGATTCATCGGCAGATTTTCACGAGCTCAGAGATGTGTTTAACGTTTTACTCTGTGATTCGAAGTCAGAATGTCACTAACAAATTTGACAAGGGCTGACCAAATGCTGCCAGCTTGGTGGATCTGATCCTCGTTCATCATGCCAGCATCCCCGAGGGGATGAATAAGAAACAGAAGCACAAGCTTGAAGAACCAGGATATCGTCCAGGGGCTTCTGCAGACAGACTCCTAAGGGAGCTAAGAGATGAGGCACAGAGAAGGTTATAACTGTGGTTTGAAGTAAGTGCCGAGGCACCTCGCTAATTATGTTGGGCATAACAGACATGCAATGGACTTAATTAAGAAAACTAGCAAAACAAAATCCTTTGAGGAGGAGGGCATTTGTCTGATAATTTCCTCAAATACTTAGCCCCATAAAATTCAGTTTACAAGTCCTATGGATCTTAAATCCCATTTTAACAATCAAAACATTGAAATGGGAAACTAAGGGGAAAAAATAGTCAAGGAAGAGTAGCTGAAGAGGAAATTGCACTGATTAAAAGCAATCAGCTTTGGCTCTGTTCACAGATATGTGGAGGCTGGGAAGGGTAACACAGGAATCGGGAGAGATTAATCCTCTGATCTTCATGGAATGAGACGAAGAGAGAGAAAAGCCGCAGTTGCTACCCAGTTACTAGGTATTATTGTTATCATTAATATGATTATTTTATGAACGTCCATAAGAACAATTACATTAACTTCCAAAATGTAGAAGACATATTTTTAACTTAAAAAAATAGGTTTTATTGATTTTTTAGAGAGAGAGAGGAAAGGAGAGGGATAGAGAGATAGAAACATGAATGAGGGAGAAATATCATTGATCGGCTGCCTCTTGCCACCCCGCCCCCTCCACCTCTACTGGGGATGGAGCCTGCAACCCGGGCATGTGCCCTGACCAGGAATCAAATTGGTGATCTCTTGGTTCCTGGGTCAACACTCAACTGCTGAGCCACACCAGCCGGCATATATATTTTTAACTTTTGTGTCCTTTTTTTTTTTTTTTAAATGTTCCTATCTTTCTAAAATTAACAAACCAGAGTAGAATTTCACCCCTGGGGAGGTTTCTTTCTTTTGTTTTCCTTTATTGGCCACTTGTTCTCAAAGTGGCATTGCCATTTCAGGCCTCTGTGTCCCCACAGACACCCCACATCTGCTGCCATCATTCCCTGGAACTGCCCATCTGACTCCAAGGCACACTACCTTGTACAGGTAGCCTTGGTTTCAGGCTTTAAACAAATGCAAGAAAAAAGAGCCATTCTATCTGCATGCACCCTTCTTTGCAAGTAAGATGCTGTAAATGTTAGTTAAGGGGAAGTCCACTATAGGGAACTCCCAGAGCAGATGCAAATGCAGTGTCCCAAAGACATCAAGTGTCTGCTTGCACTTGTGGCTGTGTTTTCCCCTGGAGCACTCCCACACATGCGTCGCCCTCAACAATTCTATGTTTGTAATAAAAACTACTAGAAAACAACAATGAAAACAGCAATTTAACAACAATCAGATAAAACTATATATACTTCTCTTGCTTGTAAACGAAGGATTCTGTGGAGCTACAGAGAATTCTTTCCAAAGCTTGTACAGGATTGTAGGTTTATATTCTTCTTTGTAAAGTTAAATTTTACTTCAAAACTTTTACTTTGTCCTTAAAAATATTTTGCTTTCTTGCCCTAAAATCCCCCTTGTAGAAATTCATCCTAAAAATGTGTTTATCATATTGTGTTTTTCTTTTTTAAAACTATATTTCATTTTTTGGAGCAGTTTTAGGTTTACAGCAAAATTGAGGGGAAGATACAGAGAATTCCCATACACCCCCTGTTCCCTCATATGCACAGCCTCCCCTGTTATCAACATTTGTTACAATCAATGAGCCAATATCGACACATCATTATCACCCAGAATCCATAGTGTACATTAGGGTTCACTCTTGGTGTTGTACATTCTACAAGTTTGGACAAATTTATAATGACATGTATAATATCCTTCAGAACAGGTTCACTGCTCTCAAATCCCCTGTGCTCCACACTGTGTTTTAATAATAACAAATTAGAAACAATCCAAATATACAACAGTAAGGATAGGTTAATTGACACATCCATTTAGTGGAATACACATTATAAATAAACATTATGTCTAGAAAAGTGTTTTAAAAGCTGTAAAAAAACACCTCCTTACAGTTTATTAGGTAAAAAAACACAAATTTTTATTTTATTTTTTATTTTTAAATTAAATTTATTGGGGTGACATTGGTTAATACGATCACATAGGTTTCAGGTGTGGGTTTCTATGTTATAAGATCTGTGTATTGTACCATGTGCCCACCACCCAAAGTCAAATCTTCTCCCATCATCATATATTAAGATCCCCCCGGCACATCCCCTTCTCTCTGGCAACCACCACACTGCTGTCTGTGTTCATGAGTTTCAGTTTTTTATCCCACATATGCGTTAAATCATATGGTTCTTAGCTTTTTCTGACTGACTTATTTCACTTAGCATACTATTCTCAAGGTCCATCCATGTTGTTGCAAATGGCAGTAATTTTGAAAACATTTTGATACCAATTTAAGAAAGACCATAAGGCTATATTCCTACTTGGCAATTTTGGGTGATAAGATTACTGTGAATTTTTTTTTGTATTTTCCTGTACTTTATAACTGTTCTACAATAAATAACTATTGCTTTTATGAACAGGATAAAAACCATACCTTTTAAATAGAAAACTTACATTATTTCTTTCTCTTGTAAAAATGTCATTATCACTTTGGTTATATTTTGCAGCCCCAATTAGGGTTGTTTTTTAGTTCACAAATATAATGAGAGGTGTTGGAAAGAGAAATTCCTGAGGTCACTGAAAAAGTTACATATGAGAAAAAAAAAAGTGTGAAACTGAGGAAGACAAGTGGGGAGAAAAATCCAAGAACGCTGGATTGGGAGGGGCTTGGATTTCCTAGTCAGTGCTGGCAAATGTGCCCCATCTCCTTCCTCCCATGCGCAGGGCAGACATAATTAATCAATCAAGGCACTTCTCAGATACCCTGGCAAACCTCAATTTGAGTTGGAACTTCCTCGCCATCCACAAAACTGCAGCAGGTACAGGAAGTGACTTGCTTCTGCTGACACAGCAAGCAGGGCCCGTCCTCTTGATAAGAGTACAACTGTGGGCATCAGGCCACATGGGTTGTTGTTTGGCCAGTGCCCTCAGGACAGAGTGCCTTGGGAGGGATGGTGGGCCTCGAGGTGGCTGGTATGACTGGACAGAAAGTAGGGAATGTCACTCTAGAATATGTGCGGAGTTTAGAAACATTGGGAGATGTTGCAGAACCCGTGTCGGAGTGATGCGCCTGGTGGCGCGGCCGTGGGCAGTCAGCATCATCTCCCACATCATCTCTGTGCTCCTGTGTGTCTACTCATGCATCCACTCATGGGTCCACTCATACAACCACTTACGCATTCGCTCTTGGGTCCATACTCACCCCTCAATGCTCATTCAGCAAAAACTCTGCAGAGGCTACTGTGGTGGGCCGGGGAGCCCACTGCCAGGGCATGTCCGAGAGGCTTAAATGAGAGGTGTGGCATGTGGCTGGCCCCGGGGGGCTGTGATCACGACAACTTCGTTGCTTTACCTGTGCTCTTGTTGGGGGCTGCACAGCGCCATCGTCAGTGGGCCACCGCTCTTAAGGAAGGCTCTGTCCTTTACTGCGTGGCCGGGCTGCCCAGCTGGTCCATCCTCAAGGTGGAGCCTTTGGAAAAGGTTTTATATAGTCCACCCTTGTTCCTCTGTAGTTTACTCTCAACACAGCAAGCACAGTGCTGCTCAAAATTCTGCAACAGTTGGCTCTCCCAGGTACCGCTGGCTCTAGCAAGTAAAGCCAGGGAGCAGGTACAAGAGTCCTCCCTGTGGATGCAGATAAACCTGCATCTTTAGGGAGCCAGAGAGAGGAGCGCATAACAGAAGGAACTGTGGAGCCTGAAGGCTGGGATTTAAATCCTAAATATCCACGTCTGAGTCTAAAGAGGCTGGGCCAGGGCTTGCAGAGCAGAGCCTTGCAGGCAACATTAGGGCAGGGCCATTGTGCAGAGGGGAGCCCCCTCCTGACTCCACCCTGCCATGCATGCCCAGGTCCTGGGTGCTGCGCCTGGGCCCAGACCTTCAGCTCTCTGGTGGTTTATTCTCTTAGTGAATGAATTGATCTCATCCCCTCCAGGGTGAAGGTAATAGGTGGTTTAGGATGAGATTCTTGGGAGAAGTGTCTTCCCAAGGGTCTGGAGGGAGTGGGCTGTGCCAGGGCTGTGTGGAGTCTGAGGGGGGTGCTGGTGAAGGGATGGGGGGTCTGGCATGAGGTTCCGTTTAGCCCCCGGACTGAAGTGTCCTTCCTAAGACCCTTGCTAGGTCAGTGTACTCAGTTAAGCCAAGTTTTTCTGAGTTTTCACATCGATTTATAGTTTCATGCAATCTATTTCTGAGTATGTAACAATCCTGTTCTTGGGTGTTCCAACCTTGTTGTTAGGACTGCAGAAGTGCAAATCTCTGGAGGCAAACCTAGAGCCAGGGCTGGGGAACATCCGGCCCGCGGGCTGTATAAGGCCCAAGAAATCATTTGGTCTGGCCCTGCCAAGGCATTAGGGGTGAGTTAATTAAATGTTTGACCAAATATAGCAGGCTAATTTTTAAGTTGATAATTTTGTATGGGTTGCAAATGATGTTATAAATATCCAAATGGCCCTTGGCAGAGAAAAGTTTTCCCACCCCTGCTTTAGAGTATGAACAATGTCTGCATGTCTGCAATTCAGGTGGTCCTCTGAGCTAGTGTTTGCAATGAGATACTAAGTTGTTTTCCCCATTAAACACATGTGTGTGTGCACGCGAGCGCACGCACACACACACACACACACACACAAGCACACGCACACGCGCGCACACACACACACAAGCACACACACACACACACACACACACACACACACACACACACTTGATTTACCTTTGGCACCAGAAGAAACACCATGTGTTTCTTTCATTCCCTGTTTTGTGGGGTCATAGGGATTGAGATGGTTAAGCTTCAGTGCACCTAGGTGGGCACTGACGAAGGAGAGAGCAGTTAGCATGGGCCCCTGGTCCGGGACAGAGAGAGCTCCCAGAGCCTGTAGGGCTCAGGGACAAGGGCCACGCAGACACCAAATGCGCTCATGTTTGCTAGGACCCCCCTCAGAGCCTGCCCCGTACTAACAGCTTCCTCATTTATCCTCCTCCCAGAAGGGTTTGGGAGAAGAAAGAAGATTTCCCTTTGGTTTGTGGGGTCTCTGCTTGTGGTGTCTGTCTTCATCCTGACCATCGGCCTCGCTGCCACCACCAGGACGGAGAATGTGACCGTGGGGGGCTACTACCCAGGGATCATTGTGAGTGACGGGGCCCAGGGGTCTGAGGGAGGGGCACTGGGCACCACAGATGTCTGTGTGGTGGTGACACACTTTGCTCCAGCTCCCTAGAGCTGGAGGTTTAGGGCATGGAAACTTGTTTTGGTGGTTATTGTTGGCAGAATGATGACCTCAGAGGTATCTGGGTCCTACTCCTTGGGACCTGTGACTGTGGTGGGTTACCCAGCAACGGGGGGTCCAGGGTGTGGATGCTGATCCTGCATCATCCAGGTGGCCAGTGTTAGCACAGGGTCCTTAGAAGTGGGGGAGGGTGCAGGAGAGGCCTCAGCCGTGTGATGGGAGAAGTTGATGATGGACAAAGGGCCACGAGCCAAGGAGTGAACAGCTCTGGACACGGGAAAGGCCTGGCCCAGATTCTCCCCCAGAGCCTCCAGAGGCAACCAGCTCCGTGACACCTAGATTTTAGCCCCATGAGACCAAGCTGACTGAACTAGTCCTCATGAAACGGACATGTAGCTTTAAAAGATACCTGCCAAGAAGCCTTGATTGATGATTACAACTGATTCTCAGGAGCCTCTAGGACCCTCCCCCTTCTCCTTCTCTTCTTCCCCAAGGTTACCTGTTTGTCTGCTCACCTGAGTCAAAAGCTTATCTCTGAGTGGTGTCAGCCATGTCCACAGGTGATGGGTAACCCTTCTGAAATACCCATGGTTCTAGTTTCCTAATATCTTACCAGAGGAGTCCTTCTCTGACTATGGGACTTGAGACAGGCCCAGGAGAAACATCGGGTGGGCCTCTCACCTGAGGCCCAGATGCAGATGAGCTGTGAGTGGTCTGGGCTACCATAAAGAGGTTGTCCTCCATGGGGGGAAAAGGGGGCACACAATGCTATCTTTTCCTGTAATCTCTTCCTGACCTAAGAGTTAAAATGTTTGAACATAGAAGATGAGATGGATCCAGTGATCCCTCTTCTAGGAACATATCCCAAGAAATCAGAAACACCAATCAGAAAGGATATATGCACCCCTATGTTCATAGTGGCACAATTTACAATAGCTAAGATTTGGAAACAGCCCAAATGCCCACCAACAGATGAGTGGATAAAAAAACTGTGGTACATCTACACAATGGTATACTATG